CACGGAATGCGCCTCTAACAGACTCCCAATGATCCTCGATAGTCCCTTCTTCATATCTAATGTTAACAGTACGATTACGGAGGTCGTCCTGGAAATTTTGTTTTGTGGTTGGATTCCGAAGCTTCTCTGTATCAAAGTTCCTACTTGCTGTTTTGGCAGTCCGCTGGATTTTCGCTACTTTTAGTTTTATCTTTGCCACAACCAGGTGGTGGTCGCTGTTTATGTCCGCACCCCTTTTATTGCGAACGTCCAGAAGGGATCTTCTCCACTTGCGACTTATCAACACATGGTCGATCTGGTTCTCTGTAATACGGTCAGGTGAAACCCATGTAACTTTGTGACAACTCTTATGAGGGAAAATAGATCCCCCACTATGAGGTCATTTTGACAGCATAGATCTATGAGCATATCACCGTTTTCAGATCTCCGTCCCATCGCGTGTCTGCCTAGCCAAGGCTCAATGTTCGTGTTGTCTGATCCCAGTTGGGCGTTGAAGTCTCCCATGCAAACAATAATATCTTGGCGCTTTATCTTCTGCAGAGTCGATTGCAAGTGACTGTAGAACTTTGCTTTTGTGGCTGTACTCGCTGCATTTGTAGGCGCATAGCATTGTATGACTGAGATGTTCCGCACTCTTGAGTAAAAACGTGCCATTATTATTCGATCCGAAACAGGATGCCAGTCGAGCAGACTGCTCTTAGCTTTGGTGGTCATTAAAATACCTACGCCTGATTCATGGTTATCAGTGATATCTTTGCCTGAATAAATGAATGTCATATCATCTTCTTGGTGTTCTCCAAAACCCTTCCATCTAGTTTCTGAAATGCCAAGAATCTCAAGTTTGTAGCTGCGCATAACTTTTGTTAACTGCTGTAGGCGGCTTTCTTCTTTCAAGGTTCTCACATTCCAGCTACCAATCGTTGTCCGTTGTTTCATGCCAAAAGTTGTTGGTGTTTTATCAGTCCGGTTTGTTTTGATTCGAGTTTCAGTAATATAAAAGTTTCAGACATACAGGTTATTAGCCCATAGTGCCCTAGGCTGTTGGCAGGGCTGCTGCCTCGAAGCGTACCGCCACACTTGATTTGTGTCAGAGTTTTCTCTCCTCTCATGCATTTAGTGGTTATTTAGACCAACTGGGTGATGAATCCCCCCCCCCTTCCCCCCTTCCAGCGCACTGGGCGTATGGTTATACCGCCATGTCTCGGTCGTCAGAGCCTCGTTGGTTGTCCAGCAGGGAGCACCACGGTAGCAGATTTGCCACCGCCGCCATCCGGCGCGAGCAGGTGAGGTTGACAATGGGGTCAGCGAGATGTTGTTGCTGTTCTCCCCTTACTCCCCATAAAGATACTAAAGTATCATAAAATGAAAGGTGTAAAAAACACTGAATATAAAATGTGCATAAAATAAGAAGAACAAACGAATAAAAAAGTTGTCCTTTCACACAGCCTTACACGCGTAGCACTTTTGTAGTAATCCCCAAAGTAACACAGTGATTTAAAATTGGTACATAATATAATGAAACGAATTAATCAATAGAAAAAAATTTTACAATAATACAAATTGTACAAAACAAATGTTTCCTAGTCACATACATATATACGAACGTAGTTCAGAGGTCTGAGTAAAGGATATACGAGGTAGGTTTCTTGGACGTTAACAAAGAAGATATCAATCAAGTCATAGATCAGTAGTGCTTGTGGTTGAGCGATGTTGCGTAAACTAATCTTGGTTGCTGTTTCTAAAATCTACTCAATCCTTTATCAGCTTTAATTTGTTTCATACTTGCTACCAGATAAACGAGTTAGCCTTAGTAATAGTAGTAGTAGTCTTAGTAATAAGAGGTCATTGGAGCCTGTAGAAATCACAATGCGAATGCCGCCTTGCTCTACATCTAAATCCCAAATATATAATATAGCGGCTATTACACTTTGGCAGGCTGAACGACAAAGGGAAGATCTTCCACCGAGCGGGTGATATTGCTCGGCAGACCGACGGTCCGAATGTTGTTGTTCGGAACTTGTATATATGCGAGCTTATCTTGAAAATGTCGTAAGCGAGATTCAGGCATCTGTCAAATATCTTGTGTTCTGTGATGGCTACCGCCACAACACCATTCAAACTGGAACGCATTACCGATTCACGATAGAAATAGGGGGGTGTAGGTACCGCCCCGCACGGGCTCACAAAGTACGTCCCTGTTATTTTCAACGAGTTGAGATTCCCATCCGGTAGTAGACGCATTCTTGAAGCAGTTTCCATTGAATTGCTACGTTCTCTTCGGTGGCGTTCGGTCAGCTGTTAAAACCCGCTCCTACTGGCTGAGCACACGCTCGCCGCCCACTTCTAGTGAAACTGGAAAGACCTTCGGACCAGCAGCAATCCTCCCTTTCGAAAAATAAATAAATCGCCCTACCACTTGTAAAAACCGATAAACACTTTCTCTTTTGTTTTGTGTTTTGTTAAGTCCTGATATTTAAAAAAAGATGATTATTTCTGTAAAACATCAATACAAATTTTATTTATATTTGATCCTCTCTCTCTCTTCCTAGCTTTTTATCCCACACGGTGGTGGGGTCAGCTTTCCTCACTTTACTCCTCCACTTCGCCCTGTCTTCGACATCCTCGTCAGCAACATTGCATTCTCTTTGGTCATTGAGCACTACGTCCTTCCATCTTGTCTTGGAGTCTACCTCTAGGTCTTCGACCGGGGAGGTCAAGCAATAGCGTCAAATTTCGGACGTGGTCAGGTGGCTTCCTTTTTACCCTATTTATATTTTGTCCATAATACTTAATTTCATTAAATACAATAATTATCTCTCATTATTTTTATATTATATTCATTTATTTTTAGTAATAATAATATATTCACTTAGTTAAATGTGTATTGGTAAAAATGGTATTATTTAATTATGTACAAAGTTTGTTGCATGTTTGTAACAATATTGTCTGGTTAACAACAGTCAATTTATTTTGCAAGCAGCATGCTGGCGAGGTAATGATACAGCAGCAGCGGGAAGGTAATGAAGGCGACACCCACTTTCGATGGCAAGTGCCTGCGCACACTTTTGAGCAATACCGTAATCTTATTAAACTTCAAATACAAGCTGCTGCTTCAAAATTATTAACATCACTAGGTGACCCGGCAGACTTTGTAGTGCCTCAATAGGTAAATAAATGACCTGAACTTTTGTATAAAATAAACTTAAAACAAACAAAAGGAGTCCGACAGGGGACACATCAAAGGAAAAACAAAATTGTTATTTTTATTTAATTCCGAGCATTTTCATATTTATTTACCTTTTAAACCTCTTCTGGACTTCCACAAATAATTCAAGACCAAAATTAGTCAAATCGGTTCAGCCGTTCTCGAGTTTTAGCGAGACTAACGAACAGCAATTAATTTTTATATATAAAGAAGATTATCAGTGTCGTTAACGAACAGATGAACCCGTTGAGCTCCTACAGGATCGACAGACCTACGAGCACGACGCAAGCTCTTCTACCACCTCGAGACTGTCTTATGGATATAAGACTTCCGCTTGACACATTTAAAAAAAAACTCTAATATTTAAAAAAATAAAAGACATGTTTGCTGAGTTTCTTGCCAGTTCTTCTCAAGACGGAGGCTAGTTTTTGTGAATTGGCGGTAGTTCTTTTTGACGTTCAACAAGTATGTACTTTCATTTATGTTGAATAAAAAAATTTTTGGTTTGATTTGATTTGACCTTTATTTTCTCGAGGGCTGCGGCGCTTACCTATTCACACGTTATGGTAATACGCTTCGATGACTATGATTCGAATGAGCAAGGACAGGGCTAGAGTATTTGCTAATCAAATAAAAAAAAACGATGCGGTAAAAAATGGTTTCCAATTGATCAAACAATATTATGTACAAAATGTAGCATCCTGTAGAAGTTTACCAGTTATGCGCACAGCAGTTGAATTACAAAGAAAGTAACAAGTAATATCGACAAACCGCACAATTCTATTAATGTTTTCCTTATTCCTCACATTCACTATTACAGTAAACGGTTCGTTTTGAGGTTTCACTGTTTCTTTGAACCTTACTCAGTCATTTCTGTAGACGCAAACATCACAATGCTTACTTCTCAAATAATGAAACAATGAATCTAAGTTTAAACATAATCGGTAATAAGACGCAACTTCTTAATTTTTTCTTTCATCTCCACTACAGGCTTTTTTTTTATTCCTTAGGTTTGTGGACGAGCTCACGACCTACCTGGTGTTAAGCGGTTACCGGAGCCCATATACATCTACAACGTAAGTGCCGCCACCCACCTTGAAATATGAGTTCCAAGGTCTCAGTTTAGTTACAACGGCTGCCCCACCCTTCAAATCGAAACGCATTACTGCTACACGGCAGAAATAGACAGGGTGATGGTACCTACCCGTGTGGACTCAAAAGAGGTCCTAGAGAAGCGATGTCGTTATATGTATGTAGATATGTATGTATGTGTGTTGTTATATGTAACAATTTAGTAGCAGGTAGGCCGCAAGATGGTATGGCCATATAAAATTATTACCCATTAATTCAAATTATTTTTATAGCTATTCTTTAAAAGTAAATGTTAAATCGGTGTCGTTGTTATGTAACTGGCTTGTTTCTTGTTTGTGGCTCTGTACTGATATACCGAGCTTAAATCCAATGTCTGAAAACCGCAGAACCATTTCACGTAATTTTTCCATGGGCTTCAACAGAAGTACCTGATTTTGTTTTCGGGGCACAGCGTTACAGCCACACGCTTTATGTCATGACTTACTCCCATGAGCTCATATCACTACTTTCACGTCATCCACCTATAGGAGCTGTATCTTCATTTCTTCAACTGATTCCTTTCCGGAGACACTAATCTCAGAGCCTCTTACTTGCTTGAAGGTATAAGTTTAGCTATTTGGGTTCATAAAACTGGAAATTAAAGCTATCCTACCTATCCTTACATCATAAATCCAAAGAAAAATTAAATAAAAAAATACTACTATGAATTTCAATACATCTTTTATTTTTCGTAAATAAAATAAAATCTTTCTTAAAAAATTAACACAAAACTTACATCACACTTAGTATATAACAAAACTATCATACAATTCATCAGAGACTAGACAGAAAACATCAAACCGAGATACGGAGAGGACGGACTATTGAATATTGCAGTACCACGGACTATCGGGAATCTCAGCGCCGATCCTCCAACGTTTATATAAAATATATGGTTTATCCATTCGATGGATATAAATTGCTATTCTCACAAGCAAATTTTACACGTCAACCTGTTTTTTGATTATGACTCAAGACAACTTTGACGATTTTTTAAAGTTTGCTCGTAATAAAATTATAATTTGTAATAAAATTTATAACAGAAGTAAATAAAGCAAAATTTAAAATTAGTAACAACGATTAGGGGAAGTATAATATTTCAGAAAACAATCTCACTGACAAACAAACACACACGAAAACTTAAAGAAAGCTATTTACATTGTAGTCAGACAGTTCGACGACACGTTCTGTGACGATAAGGATATAAATTAAAAAATACTATTTACAAAATAACCACAGTAATTTTACGTAATAAGTTTACGTAACTTCAAAACATCTTGAAATCGAAACTTAATAATAAGTATTGTCAGTGTCACTAACGACACACAAATAGAATGTCATAAGGCTCAATAACAGATTCGGCACTTGCACACGTTTATACAAATATTACTAGTATCAAAATCAACATTATGATCGATGCGCTTGCATTGGTATTGTTTCGACAGTACACCATGAATATTTACACGTTTAGCCAAAAGTTGTGCTAAAATAACATTAATTACATACCAGTTATTTGTTCGATAGAGGATTTAAATACCAAATTACTCTTATGGCTGTTACATTAAAACCAAAATTGGAATTGAGATTCAACTTGAATTGAATTCAGAAATTCCGCAGCGGGGCAGATTCAAATATCACATTCAAATTCTGGAACTCTTTTATTCCTACCATCTGGTGTAATTTGAAAGTGCCCTTCCCTAGTGCCAATCCTCGGAAACCCATTAAAGCTATTCCTACTAACCAAAGGGTTCTCTCTCTCCCTTTCCCTGTGAAAACTGGAAGTAGATAGTTTCCCGTCCTTACGTTCGGTGAAGTTCGTGTCGTTGAAATTATTGTCGGTGAAATTTTTGTCAGCGAAAGGTCGGTCGTTGAACTCGGCGTCTGAGAAGGGTCTCTCGTTGAAGGGCACGTCCCTGATGCCGAAGCCGCCCATCCGAGGAGTTCCAATACCAAACTTGTTCCGGAGCTCTTCGTCCCGAAGGTTAAACGCTCGGTTATCGAACTGCGACGGCGTACTTGTTAACCTGACAAAATTAAGTAATCTCGTTGAAACTAGAAACTAAATGTTTTGTTTTGAATCTTTTTAATTGTAATTCGCAGACATGGGCTCACGGCAACATTTTAGATTTCATTAAGTTTGTAGTCTACATATAATGGTAGATTTAAAATGAATGTTAACGTATAGCTATTATAGTATTGAAGGTAGCCGCGGCCTGCTCCTCGACCCCGGATCCTTACGAGAGCAGCGGCTGGCCTGGGTCGGAACTGTATCGCTATAATTTAATAGGTAGGTAGTTACTGTTAAGTTTATCGCTGACTAGTGCTGATCATTGTTGACATTGTAGTGTGAGATCGCTCACCGACTGCTGCGACTGCTCCAAGGCGGCGCTAGGTGAAAGGTGCTTAATTTGACTACATTTGGGTACAGAAAGGTAAACAAACTGACTCTCTAAAGCAGCGCCTCTCCCGGTCGTACTCGGCGGAGAGCCCGTCGTCGTCGTGGATGATGGCGGAGGGGTCGCTGTAGACGGAGGAGTCCTGGTAGAACGAGTCGAGGTCGACGTAGTTCCCCTCGGCGGTCTCGTTGTGCAGCAGGTCGGCGAGCTGCGCCTTGAGCGCGGAGAAGGCGGGGCGCTGCGCGGGGTCGGCGTGCCAGCAGGAGTGCATGGCGCGGTACAGCTGTGGCTTGCAGTGCGCCGGCCGCTCCAGCCGGTAGCCCTCCGTCACCGCCGCCAGCACCTCGCGACCAGACATCGTCGCGTACGGAGTCGAGCCTGACGCATCACATCACATTACTTTTAGCTGCGTGGTGTCGGCCTACAAGCAACGCGCTACCCCTTTATATACGTGTCATAAAAGAAAAAGGGATTCAGAGAAAACGGCCAGCAGCATTTTTAAAGTATTATGCTGGCTTACTGCATCCACTACTGAAGCTTTAAAGGTGGTGGGCGCATTGTAAGTACGAAACGTCGACTACATGTCATTTAATAAACAACATAATGTTATACTGATTGATACGTTTTCGTATAATCCAAATCCAATCCAAAATGACAAATTCAATCATGCAGTAAGTACATAAGTTGTAAGCTTTTTCTCTTAATCTGTTTACTAATATATAAACCTACAGTGGTTTTTACCGATGTTCCACTATAACTACTGAACCATGCAACCGTTTGACTTGAAACTTGGTATCCATGTAGAAAATACATTTATTAATGGATAGACTAATATTTATACGAGTGTTGGACTCCGTACACAAGTTGCGGGGGCGCTAATGATGAGAATCTTTGTTGGGGTGAGAAATAATAATGTTAATTTTAAACGGCCAGCGAAGCGGACGGGTACAGCTAGTAGAATAATAAGTATTGAGAAATACTAACCAAGCGTGACGATCTCCCAGAGCAGTATCCCGAAGGCCCAGACGTCGGAGTGGTGCGAGTAGTGCGAGTAGAGCAGGGCCTCGGGCGCCATCCAGCGCACCGGCAGCGCGGTCCGGGGGTTGCGCGCCGCGCCCGCGCACCGCGACATGCCGAAGTCTGCGATTTTGCACAGCTTGTTGTGGTCCACCAGCACGTTGCGGGCCGCCAGGTCGCGGTGCACTATCTAACGATCAAAAACAACTGATAACGCACGAGTAAACCCCACGTCAGCTCTACACCTGCATGTGCCCTTATGACGCTGACCGTGTTATAAAATTGTAGGTGTCATTTTTTTAATGCTTATATAGGTGAAAGAGCTCACAGCCCACCTGGTGTTAAGTGGTTACTGGAGCCCATAGACATCTACAAGTAAATGCACCACCCACCTTGAGATATAAGGTCTCAATACAGTTACAACGGCTGCCCCACCCTTCAAACCGAAACGCATTACTGCTTCACAGCAGAAATAGGCGGGGTGGTGGTACCTACCCGTGCAGACTCAAACGAGCTCCTACTACCAGTAATTACGCAAATCATAATCTTGCAGGTTTGATTTTTATTACACGATGTTATTTCTTCACCGTGGAAGTCAATCGTGAACATTTGTTGGGTGCGTATTTCATTAGAAAAATTGGTACCCGCCTGCGGGATTCGAACACCGGTGCATCGATAGATACAAATGCACCGGACGTCTTATCCTTTAGGACACGACGACTTCAACTCAGCTGATTTACGATTCCAAACAGCTAACTTCACACTTTTATTTTAACTGCTTAGGTTGTCCCTCAAACGCTAAAGATAGATGAGCTTACGACCCACCCATCAGAAACAGCATGTCTTACAATGACAGGCAGGTTGCAGGTAAGTCACCTACCGCTCATGGGTTTCTCCAAACGAAATTTAAGTTAATTTAGAAATACATGCATCGTTAAATCGCTGATCAGAGAAGTTCACCTATGGTTTAATGGTATGCAATCGTAGAATACGTGTTCAGTCAATTACAATTATCTGATAACGCACACCAGTGCGAAGGGACTTTCTGTTACTTTTTTATGTTTATTTTACTTGTGTCGTTTTTAGTTCTATCATTTGCATTTTACTATTATAAATATTAAAAAAAAATTGACTTTGAATATCAAAAAGATAAAATGTCGCATTTTATTGGTGTTTCTGTATGTTCATAATAATGTAGAGTGGAGACCGCGTAGTGGAAGAAGTAACGTAAGACGCCCCCTGGCTAGATGGTGCGATAAACTCCGAACGATGACCGGCAAGAAGTGGATGAGGAGAGCCGAAGACCGGGCTCAGCGGTGTGGATTGGAAGAGGCCTATTCCAGCAGTGGTCGATTGTGGGCTGATGATGATGATGATGATAATAATAATGACATGAATTGGTTGAAGTTCTTACCCCCTTAGAGGCGATATAGTCCATCCCCCTGGCGACGCAGTAGGCGAACACGGTGAGATCGCGCGAGGTGAGCGCGCCGCTGCCCGCGAACCTGTCTGGGCGCGCGCGGCGCTCCCGCAGGTACGTCAGCAGCTTGCCGCACATCACGTACTCCATTATTAGCAGATATGGCTCTGGAAAACACCATTTTGGTTTTTCATTATTTTTTATACGCTTTTATTAGCTTCAGACGTATGTATATAACGGAAAAATTTGGTATACTTATTAAGGACCGATGACAAACCAATATTTAAAAAAAAATTGAAAAAAAAAATTTGAAAAAATTTAAATTCAACTGAAAAATTAAAAATAAATAATAGTTTTAAAAAACTAACAAAACACGCTTTTATAGAAAATCCAACTAAAAAATTGAATATTTCAGGATATTATCAAAATAACCCTTATACTCATGATACCATGCACCCCACGCTTTTTTTACATTAAAATAATGTTTTTCTTACACTATTTTTAATTCAAATGTATTAAAAAAAAATGTCTATTTTTTAGTTGGATTTTCTATAAAAGCGCATTTTGTTAGTTTTTTTAAACTGTTATTTACTATCTTTGATTTTCAAGAGACTTTCTGAATACGACTAAGACATTATTCGTAAAAATTTGAACATTGTCCTAGTAATATTGAGCTTTTATGTAGCGACGTCTATCTAATATAAGATCTAATCCTCTGTTACAGTTACCGTGCGAGTTTACCTTGTTCAGTGCAACAGGCAAGTAACGTGACGACGTTGGGGTGCGTCCCGATCTTTTGCATGATGTAGATTTCATGGAGTAGCTCCTGTTTCTCCTTCTGCGATGCCGTTTCCTTGATCGTTTTTACTGCCACTAGTCTGGTTAGCCCGTCGTGCCCGTTTAAATCATCAGCCTCTGCTTTCCAGACCTGAATTTTTTATTTTACAACTTTAAAGGATGTGTTTATCATTCCAGAAGCGGCAAGTAATAGTTCATTGATAGATTTTGGGTTCTAATCATTTGGTTTCTGTAGGTAATATTACCGAAACATAACAATTATCATATACCGTGTATGATTATTTCTAGGGCATCAATCAAACTATACTTACTACGATACACTAAAAACAATAGAGTTCTAAGTATCTATGTACAGTACAACAGCTGCCCCACTCTTGGAACCGAAACGCATAAGTGTACGACAGAAACAACCAAGGTGGTGGTACCTAATGTGGAACGGGCTCCAATGACGCCCCACCACCTGTTTTTACGCGAAGGGTAGGGTTTGATTTTTACTACAAAATTTTATTCCTTCACCGTGGAAGTCATTCGTAAACATTTATTAGGTACGTATTCTATTAGAAAAATTTGTACCTGTCTGTGGAATTTGAACACCGGCACAATCGCATCGCTCGATACGAATGCACTGGACGTCTTATTATCTACTATCTAAACCATGAATTCAAAATACGTACTAAATCTCGAATGATGTGGCAGTGGGTTTCATCCATTTGCGACCTGAGCTCGTTTGCTGTCATTCAGTAATGAAAAAATTAAGATGAGAATGTGAGAACTAACCTGCCCGAAATTCCCTTGGCCCAGTAACGTCTGTAGTCTTAACTTATTTCTCGGGAACTCCCATTTTTGATCAGGTTTGGTGGGTGGAGGTAGCGGAGGCCTCGCCACCGGAGTGATAGGAGATTCCTTCTTAACCTCAGCGTCATCGAAATACCCTTCGTACTCCGTGTCTATTTCTTTGGTCTTCTTATTCAATAAATTTCTAAGAACAAATATTATGATAGCTGCAACAGGCAAGAAACCCAATCCTGCCAACACATAAGATGCTGTGTATGTTTTCTCAGCTTCAATAACAACCCCATTCTGAGAACTTGAATTTTCGATGCTATTTGATAGATTGACCACCTTTGATTCAACAAGTGTAGTGTTTCTCGAAACTGATAGGGGTTTTGAACTCGATTCAGAGGACTTCATTGAAGTTACTGTGAAGGGTTTGAATGTTGTTGATTCTATATTTTGTGTGGTTGCCGGTAGTTCTGTCGAATGTGTTATACCTGTATCGTTTGGAGTAATAGTGGTTGGTGCTGAGGAAGTCGTAGAGGTTGTAGTAGTGGTTGTGGGCCTTCTCCTTCTATGGGCACTCCTTGGCCGTATCGTGCTCACTAAAGTCGTATTCTCGTAAGTTTTTTGTAACAAACTCGTCAGCGTTTCAGTTATTCTCGATACTGACTCATCTCTTTCACTATTTGTTGTAGACAGTTCACTAGTAGTCGCCGATTCAGTTGGTTTTGATTTAGAGATTCCACTAGGTGTGCTTGTTCTTAATTTAATTCGGAATCTATGATGTCTTATAGTTGAAGGGGCAACGGTTGTCGTTTCGGTTTCATTACCTGGTATGGTTTTAGGAGTGGTCGCATTTTGACCAATAACATCACCTACGACGGTTGTGTTGCTAACAACATCATCTGTTGCGTCTGATTTATTCTGTCCCTTCATAGAAGAGGTAATAGATACAGAAGTGACCACTGCAGTGTACACTGCGGTTGCGACCTTTTCAGTTGTCGTATTAACAGTGACAGTCGGTTTAACTTCTGTCGTAGGTGAAGCGATCAGTTTAGTTGGTCGTCGTCGCAAATTGAAGTAATTGCGTGTGAAATTTCTCGACGTCGTGGCATTATACCTTGGGGCATAATCTTTTGTCCCATTGTCAAAATTAAATTTGGTCGCAATATCAGTACTTTTACTGTTATTACTAGTATTTTTAAAATTTTCAACAGTGCTTAGTGCAACGTTTTGAACAATACGTTCAGTAACATTCAACTGAGCGAAGTTAGGAGATTTTGTAGTCGATGGTGTAGTAGTAGTAGTAGTAGAAGTAGTAGTTAGTTTTCTATAGGCATTAACTAGCCCGACATGTCTTGCTGGGGCTGGCCCTTTTACTGTATTTCTAACTTTGTTTTTCTCAATAATATTTTTAACAACTGACACATCCATATCTTCATTGATTTCATCTTCATCGGCATTTGAATTTTTATATTTCTCTGTGGCGGAATACCTAGAATTGAACTTTCTTTTCTCTTGGGGTGGAGCCAAATAATTTATTGTTTTTGTGGAGGCGGAAAAAGATGGAGAGTTTGTTAAATTATCACTTATGCCGGTACCGCCCAATTTTTTTCCAAAATATATAAATGGTGCCATATCTTCAACTGGTAATTCTGTTTCTAGAGGTCTAAAATGATTGTAAATTTCATCCGACAAAAACAAAGTTTGATTCTCAGTTTTCCCAAGATCATTTTTAGCCAACGTATAATTTTTTTGTTCTGTACTATTTGCTATAGTATTGATTTCAGTAATTTCATCCTCCTTAGACTCAATAGTGTCATTTTCTTTGGAATCTTCAACAATTATAATGGTAGTTGGCTTAATTATAGTAGAAGTATTTTCTTTGACTATTTCGTTACTGATAGTAGTTTTATTTATATCTGGTCCTTGAGTGACATTATCAGTGTCAGAATAATTTAATAAATACAGTCCATGGTTGGATTCGTCTACTTGGAATTCTTCTTCTGGATCTAAATCAACATCTTTTTCTTCTTCTATTTTATCTGGTGGAACATACACTATATTACCTTCTGTCGCTTGTTCAGGAATCGTAACACTTTTAAGTATACTCGTTGGTTCTCGTCTTCTATACCCTGATCTATTCCTATTTTCTGGGCTTAATTTAGGTATAAAAATATGTCTTATTTCATGTGGCTTAATATCTTGTCTTGTTTCCCTGCTTCCGTCTGTAGTGATCAGTTTGAGCGTCACAGGAGTGCCAGCCTCTCTGCTTGAATTATCAAAGATTACTTTCCTTACCAAAGAGCTGTTTCCATGTTTTACTTCTAGGTGGGCGAACGTTGTGTTTGTTCTGAAAAGTAAAAACATCACAAGTTTTTATCGTCAAACTTAAGCAAACGAAGCTCACCACTTTTACTGTAAGTAACTAATGTTTTTTTTTGGTTAATCTTTCAAAGTGATTGGAAAAGAGTATCAAAACTAAGAAAATTAAATAATAGGTGTATTAAAACATAACTTCACAAAGCTGCCTTAGTTGAAATCGTCGTGGCCTAAGGGTACGATGCCTGGTGAGCTTACATACGAGTATATCAAGTTTCGGAATTATACTGGTACTGTAATCCTGCAGGTAAGTATTAATATTTATAAGAAAACATCTACATGCTTTTTGCATCTCTACATATCAAAATGTAAATTCGTGAACATTAAAGCATACTTTATTTTACTCTTACAAATGTATTTTAGCAAGATATTGATACTTTGCTGCCTAAGTTCAATTTTTTTCTCTAGAATTCTATTTTAAAATGGTATACGTACTTATGAGGCTTGTGTGTTATAGCAGCTAAGGTATTAATGTGTGACGTCAGTCTTCCGCTGAGGAGCAACCTTCTTCGAGCAGCAAGCAACGAAAACAATTGTGAATCCCTGGTCGCGTTTGTACTACTAGGCGTTGTGACTCTCTTGTTGTTCGCTGTAATGGAAAATGAATAATTAATTCAGACTACTTCTAATTAAGAGACTTATGATTCTTGATCCCTTAAGATCTCTGAATGCTTGAAAGACTCAAAATGTTCATTATCCAATTTTAAAGAAACGACATGACTGCGAACTATGTTAAGGTATTATATTTCCAAAGTATTGAATAAATGATAGAATATATTACATAGGAATAATAATTTAAACCAAGATCAAATACAAAGATGCCTAATCGAAGAAAAAAAAAAGATCATTAAACTAGGTGACACCATGACTGAATGTATGCTGCTCTTGCTGTATACCTCCTATACCAGCGGGTTCAAACAGAGCCCATAGTTTGGATAAAGTCGGATATAGAACGGACTTGTCTTTTTTGTTAGGCAGCGGCTTGGCTCTGCCCCTGGCACCGCTGAAGTCCATGGGCGACGGTAACCACTCACCATCAGGTGGGTCGTATGCTCGTCTGCCTACAAGGGCAATAAAAAAAAACTTGTCTTTTTTGTTAACATATTAAAATTCTCTTTATAGACTAATTACAATTAGGTATACAGAACAAATAATTAAATAACGTTCGTCGAATACAATAACAAAAACAGTTGAAACAACAAACTGTAATGTATTGAACTCCGTGATTAAATTTAATTAATTTGGAACAATAAGGTACTCATACTAAATTTTTACGATCAACAAATAAATAAATAATTTAAACAACTTATGAAACTCTTGTAGAGTAGATGACAGCTATTTAGAATATGGTATCTGAACGTGAAGGACGTTCTAAACGACGTCGGATCTCAAAATGCTTCCTCCGAAAAACAATTAGTACCCATCCTTAAACGACAGATCGCATGGCCGTACCGTCACCGCGACAACAATAATTATAGTAATCTAGGAGCTGTCTGATGGCTGTAACCCTCACCTACAAACTGTCGATGACAACGCTCATTGTGAGATGCATTTCAATATTTTGATAGGACCTAATTTTTAGCCAATGTCCAAGTTCCAAGTTTTCAGAAATCTACAGAAACAGAATGATCACAGCTACATCTTGACAGATAAGCTATTGGTTTTGCACGAGTATTTTCTTATTCTTGGGGACTCAGGTTTTCAAATTCATTATGGTTATCATCATCAGCGACACTTCACGTCGTAATATTGCTAAGTGCTCAGTTGAAGCCCTTAGGTTGTATAAAATAAAATACCAAAAATTTTCTTAGACTAATTTATTGTTGAGTTATACAGAAAGTTAAAACAATGGTTGGGAATACAAACGAGGACACCGAAGCCCGTGCTCGTACCACAAGCAGCCTTGACACGCCCGCGCCAGCCACAGAGAGAGCTTAGTGTTGATTGATACGACGCACCAACAATGGGTGTGTGTACATTGTAGTACATTTTTCTGGTGTTGTATTGTAGTGTGCAGAAACGACCTACTTTCGCTGTCTCTTCAGCTGTTCATATCATACTTTGAATGATTTACGATTTTAATGCTGTAGACTCAGATGTACAAACTGCACTCAAACACAATAGGCTCTGCAGCCAAAATTAATTGCGTCGCTTATGTCACTGCGTAGTTTAAAATAAGAGATTTCAGCCTAGTGAAACCAATATGACAGTAGTTGAAAGGAATGTAACAGTAGTACGAATGCAATCGAGTGCTTGATACTAAGTTATAAGCTTTCGAAAAGTCATCGCAGTAGGCAGCGGCTCTGCCCCTGGCATTGCTGAAGTCCATGGGCGACGGTAACCACTCACCATCAGGTAGGCCGTATGCTCGTTTGCTTACAAGGGCAATATAATTATAATAAAAAAAATGTGTGCGTGTACTAGTGTACACACGTAAGAAGTGAAACTTGTTTATGGCCTTATTTTTCGAAAAATGATCTACATGCAACTTTCTAGAAATTGGTTAAATAAAGTTAAATTAGATAAAGTTTAAACAAAAGGATTTTATTATCATAGACATGAATACAAATAATACAATTATTTCACTTTACCTTTTTGCTACTAAGATTATTACAGCATTTCATTAATTGTAATAGAATTATTACTATCATTGTCATTGTCATTATATATTTTTGTAATTAATGGCTTATGGTAACTGAAATATGAAATATATGGTTTACATTCCACGAAATTTAGTGACCGAGTAAAAACTCCATCAATTGTAGTGCCAGATCTTGTTGTTGACGTTTGAGGACTGTTTTTCATGGATAAATTCAATTTATCTTTCAGAAATTCAACTAGCTTCAAAGAATTTTCCGATGCAAAATTTACATTAAAATCTCCACTTAAAATCATCGGTATTTTATAATTATTGTTACCGAGTAAAGAGGCACCTTCACTTGTGTACGGCAACAATGAATGGTGAAGAAAAAGATGGCGCGTAACGGAAAAATGTGACGCGTAACCGAAAAATGTGACGGTAAATTTTTTTCCAACGCCGATAAAGAAGTTTCACTTCAAAAAGTCTACAATAATTTGTTACAAGTTAAATTCCAATGTATAGTATGTACGTTATATAAATGAGAACGGCTTATCAACTTTATATGACTATATAGTAACGTTGCAATGAGTGGGTGCACTCATTAAGTTAAGAATTTCTCTAGCGTGTTGTGTGCCGTTTGATTTCACCGAGCGTGCAATACTCGCACCCGCTTTTTGTGTCATTAATTATTTACTAATTATGAATTTCACATATACATAATTATTAGCTGACGTATTGGAGCACTCAGCAAAAAAGTCTCCTTATGTTGATACTTTTAGGACCATTAGGCGCGTGTGATTCCCTTGCGATGCTCTTTGTGTATTATGTGCATGGTGTAGTATGATGAGAACGAATACCAGTTAGAGATTGTGCCACTGCATCGAAATAAAGAAGATACTTGATAACAAGGTCTTTAAAGGCTAAGCTTTAGTCTAACTACGCACAAAGGTATCTGAGGGTGACTCAGTAAAAGTCAATAAAAAATTGGATAAAATATATTATTTGCGTTTTTATTTTGTTACAAAAATACTGACGATTACTAAAGAAATTTCCGTAAATAATGACAGAACATAACATTTCGTAACTCTGCTATAACATTCGCCTTTTGTATGCGTGAATACACAAATACAAACATAGTGTATGCAAAATTTTCTAATCGGTGAGATGTTATTGCATAAGGAGCTTTATTGTTTATTGTTGCAGTAGTTTCTTTACAATAAAAGCACGACAATTTTTGTACAGTAATTTATGGTTATCACCAAGCAGATAGCAATGGAGAAAGATCCGGTTATATGATGTTACATAGAGGTATGAATTCAGCCCCTTCTTTACTACCACTTACCTCTTCAGAAAATTTTAAAGTCCGATTCTCAATGCAATACGCTTGCTTATCTCTATATAAATGTGTTTTAAACAACAAGCCACATCGAATGTTTCACAGAATTATAGCAATCCTTAAAATTCACATTACTTATTGTTGAAATCAAAGATTTGCTTAAGGCCTTGGTAAGTAAACGCATTCTAAATTTAATTTGTAAAAGTACATAACTTAAATAAAAATTAACGTTGGAATAATGGCGTGCGCGGTCGGCGTACCTTGGTCCCAGCTTCGGCATCCAACCACTAGCTGTATAGACATGTCTATGTAATTGACATAACGGGCGCGCACACACTTGGCCACTTGCACTTACAGTACTCGAGCTAACACGATCCATAGCTCTTCGTTTTAGAGAAAATAATGACGTGTAACTTGTTTTGTTACATGCTAAAGAACCGAAAGGTGCCTACACATTGGCGTTACGGCTATAGAAATAAAAATGACATTGCCCGCCTTGAAATATGAATACAAAGCCTTTTCTGCATAAGAACAACGTCTCAGTGGTAGAGGTAGGCCGGGCCGGATCACAGTGCACGCCAACTATGATAAAACCAATTTAATTAAGATGGTCTCTTTAGTTGGCCTATTCTTCATTGTCGTTTCTTAACTTACATTAAGACCGATTGAGACATCATTAATCTTCTAAAATAAAATTACACATTAGCCAATCCATAAGTTAGAACAATAACAATATCAATGTAACCTTTTCACTGAACATCGAAGATCAACTTCCATGGACTACAATGAACTGTCCCATCATATTTCATCAAAATAATATAATAGATATTTTTAATTAAAAGACATCTCCACAATGCAATTAAGAAATAATCACTATTAACACCGATTTGATTAGAGCTGTAATTAATTATAAACGTTTGTGCTATTACGGCGTTATCCACAGACATATCGGTGCCAAGGATTTCATATTCTCATTGATCATTCGGGGTTTGGTTTGCAGTTTTGTTCGTCAAGTCCAGCTCGGTCAAAACATTTTACAGTACGTCTCACTGTTTCAATAATATTGGTTTCATTTAGATTTTTGCACATTACACATTCCAAGTTCAGTAAACACACATACGAGCTAATGGCTCAACTGCAAGTGGTTTTCGTGTGGCATTTACAGCAACTACTGACTTATGTGAAACCGAGACCGCAGCTATATTAATTGACCGTTAATAGGAAAAGTACACATCACAGTCTTAGCGCGGACACCTGTACTTAGTTACAGTCTCGTTCTTACCATTTAGTGCACGCTTGTCAGCGTCATTTTTGGAATTTTATTTCTCAACTTATATCATAGTCGACTCTTACTTTAGTGAATAGTTTCCCCGACTATATCAGGGATCCGCATCAGAATCCCCGCCCCCGTATTTCTTTTAATGTTATTTGCACTGAGGATCTGACTGCTCTTGACTCGGATGTCGGTTTCCTACTACACGAAAATATTTTTGCATGGCTGTGTATACCTGTGTCATTGACAGTTATAGGCAGCGGCTTGGCTCTGCCCTTGGCATTGCTGAGGTCCATGGGCGATGATAACCACTCACCATCAGGTGGGCCGTATGCTCGTCTGCCTACAAGGGCAATAAAAAAAAAGTTAAAATCTAACATTAAAGTTCTGATGTCGACA